GCGGCACTTTCTCGACACCATCGGGGGTGCGCAGGGGGTGGTCTCTCAGCGCGGCCTCAAAGCGTGCCAGGGTCGGAGAGCGTGCAAGGCGTGGCAATTTCTCGACACCACAAAGGGTGCGCAGCCCAACGCGCCGCTCATGCCGCCCAACTGTCCCATTGACGCACTGCCGCCTCTGTGCTTGAATCTGAAGAAGCCCATGACAAACGCAAGTGTCGAGGTTTGCGTTGCCAATTTGCGCCGTGATGCCACGAAACGTGTGATGGGTGTGCCAAAATGGGGGTGGAACCGCATGCGGGCGCTGCCGTTGAGGCCTTCGGTGGAGCTCCCTATGGGGCCACGAAACGTGTGAGGGGTGTGCCGAAATTAGGGTGGAACCGCATGCGGGCGCTGCCCCTTCGGTGGAGCTCCCTATGGGGCCACGAAACGTGTGAGGGGTGTGCCGACATGGGGGTGGAACCGCATGCGGGCGCTGCCGCTGGGGCCCTCGGTGGAGCTCCCTATGGGGCCGCTGCCGAAACAGGGGTGGAACCGCATGCGGGCACTGGGAGGGGGCAGCGGGAGTGACCGCGGGGCGCTGTCCATTCAAAACGAGGACCCAACACCACAGGATGGTTGGGAAAAAACTATCTTATCTCCTCTCCACTCTCCTCCCTCCTCTTCTCTTGACTGGCGTCACCAACGGTATCGGCGGGGAAACGGCCACCAACACCATTCTCACACGCTTCACTTCAGCTACCATCACTCCAGCCATAATAGAAGTATGTGGGGTTCCTCGGTAGCGTAGTGGTTTCCTTCTCTCAGCCGCTTCATCTTTCGTCGGAAAGTCGGGGGGGTGGGAGAGAAGCATCGCCTGCGAGCGTGGGCGCCAGATCCATGGATCGGGGAGGCGCCCCCCGAAACCTGGCGCCCGTGCCGCCCGATGTCTGGCGACGGAGCGCGCCGGGTCCGCAAGGCAACGGGACCCGTCGCCCCTCCGCGCGCCTTCACCCAGGTGTGCGCTTCCTCGAGGCCTGCTGCATGCTTCGGGGGCGCGCAAACGTGGATCAGCGATCCATGGATCTGGCGCGCGGTCGCCAGATCCATGGATCAGGGGAGGTGCCCGCCCAAGGGTGCGGCCGGTGCCGCCTCGTTCGGCGGCGAAAATCCGCGGTTTCCCGTGGAAACGGGACCCGTCGCTACTCCACGCCCCCTTCCTTGATCCATGTTTGCGATTGCCTGAATGCTACGGCTTCTGTACCCCCCCTCTTCGCAATCCTCCCCCCCTCCCTTTCGGAGGTTGCCGGGTGGTCCTGGCTCGAGGCGGCCCCGGCTTCTCGGACCTCTGGGGCACTCTGGAGGTGTGCCCTGCGTCCTTGGGGGCCTCGTGAGGGGTGCTTTGAAGGCAATTTGGGCACCCCTGGAAAAGCTGTGGCCACCATCGGCCAGAGCAACCTCTGACAACACCCGGTCCCTTCGACCCGACATACCCGACATACGTAAACATACCTTCCTCAGCCGACGCAGCACCCATCGGTGGCGGCATCCGAACCCTACTCTCACCAACCGTCGATTCTCCTTAATCGATGGGAAACGGGGGTAGGGTTCGGATTCCGCCACGTGTTCGACGACTTTGGAACCCTACCCCCGCCGCCCATCGAGTTGCCTGAATCGTTGATCGGCGAGGGTAGGGTTCGGAATTCGCCGCCGAACCCAAACACCCCGCTCCCACCGGAAAACGCTCTCCGCCGACCCCGGCACGGTGCAGGAACTCAAGCATCCAGCGCCTTTACAAATCGGGGCGACCGGTTTGCCATGTGTCTGGCCTCTGGAAGCCGTTCTTTCTGGCCTCGGCGCACTGAAAAACCGGTCCCGAGGAAGTGGTCGAGAGGACCGGGGGCTCACGCACCTGCGGAGGGGTCCAGCGCTGGCGGAGACACCAGGGGACGTCTGATTTGATGTTGCGTGTGGGGCCGTCGCTCGGACGTCCATTCCCCGTGCCTTTCTCGGCAATTTTTTGGGGGGGCTTCGTGCGCTCTGTTTTGAGAAAACAGCCTGGCTCTGTTTTGAGAAAACGGCCTGGGATGCTCCTCGATGGTCCCCGCCGAGAAAAATCCACACGTCCGATCGATGCCAAGTCTCCCCGCTCTCCCCCGCTGCCGTGCTCCTGGTCTCCCCTCTCCCCCCCGTCTCTCCCCCCACCCCTCGCGTCAGCCCCGCGAGTGACCCCGTCGATCCCCGCAGGCGGATCCTGGGCCCCCACGCCGCGTGACCCGGGCCGGCCGCGCTCGTCTCTACGCCCGACTTTCTTCTACGCCGCGCCGCTGCGCGCGCAGCCGCGACGCCCAACAAAAGTGTCCGGAGGGATATCCGAAGCATGTGTTCACGTGCGTTCCCGCCCTTCTGGTCTGGGCGGTATGCCTGAGCCTGCTTGTGGTGCCAAGCAGCGCGTGATCGTGAAAACACCGTGGCCGCCTAGGTTACTGTAGACAGGCTTGCATGCCAGCTTTCATGTGTTGCG